AGGCCTCGGTGTATGGGATCCCGAGGCCGGGCGGCGACAGGCCTTGGCGTGAGGACAAGATAACAAACCTGGGTACCATTTGTTGAGCCCTGACTCCGAGCGGCCCTGCGCCCAGTGCTTTGAGCACATTATCTCCTCATCTTCACAATTGTTCCCCTTACACGCTTGAGGAAACCGAGGCCCCAGAGTTAGAGGACGAACGCAGAGTGGAGCGGGGATGCGCGCCTTCAGACTCAGGCCACACTCCCATCCTCTCCCCCCACCGGCCGCACCCACAGCGGCCGCACCCACGGCACTCGCTCTCCTGCCCCAGAGCTCCTTGCCCTCGGGTTCCGGAAGGGCTGCAGTCTGGCTGGCCTGAAACCAGGCCTGGCTCCGGCAGCCAGACCCTCAGTGGGGTGTGGAGGGAGGGGGCTTGGGGACCCCTTTGTCTCATCCCACCTGGCAGCCCCGGTCTCCAGGCTCTTTCTCTCAGCCCCTTTCCAGGTCTGGTCGCCAGCTCTTGGCTTTGTTCACCCATTTCTACACCTGGTGTGTGAATGGTGGGAAGAAGGGGTGACAAAATAAAATTAGGAAGGCCATGAACTTGGACGCAGGACTTGTCCAGAACCTCTCAAAGCAGCCCACCTGAGCCCTGAAATTCATAAGAGACGGAAGAGAACAATGGGGTGATTTGGGCATGGAAAAGAAATGTGTGCCACCGACTGATTGATACTAAAAAGTTAGGAACAAACAGGACTCCCTCCAGTAGCGGGCTCCCTAAATAAATTAAGGTTCATCCACTTAATAAGTGTTAGCTTCCTAAGGAGCTAAGTATGGAAGCAGGCAAAGTGCTTTGGCAATGTTAATTTACAAAAGGAGATATATCACACTGATTGCAACCATATATATGCACACACACTGAGTGGCCAGATTATTATGACCACCCCATCAGTACAATAAAGTGAATTAGTTATGCAATTAATAATAATAAAAACTTGAGAGTATTTGCTTAGGAAGTTTTCAATATTCAGTATTTTTGGAAGTGTCAATGAAGTACTGATGGTGTGGTCATAATAATCTGGCCGGTCATAATAATCTGGCCACTCAGTGAATATATACTTATACACACCGTAAGGAAGGACACAATAGTAGTCGTTACGTAAGATGAGGAATATGGGTTCAAAAACTTAAAATCATTTTGGACATGTTTTCCTGATTATAAAAGTAAAATATGGGCATTGAAGAAAATGGGTGTAATAAAAACTTAAAGAAGCAAAGAACATTGTGCTGATTTCTTTCTCTAAACTTTCTCTACTACTGTGTTCACATTTACAGTTCATTTTTTTTAAGGGTTTGAAAATATGCCGTCTTTGTTCAGTTTCTTCCTGGCATCTACTCTTGCAACACCAAGCTTATGATATACTAATCCATGTTAATGAGTCTCTGGGAGTGAAAATTAAAATGTTAGTGGGAAGGAATTATCCCACTTCTCTTCTCAGCTAACAGGTGCATTTTAAGAGTTTATTTAATTGCCACAGAGGGCACCTCCAACTGTATCTTTAATCCAAAGGAGCAGTCCCAACTGTATCTTTAATCCAAAGGAGCAGTCCAAAAATGAAGTGGCATTTTTCAGGCATAAGGGGTGATATTTTATTTTATTTTTATTTTTTTACTCTTTTCTTTTATATATATACTAGGGGCCCGGTGCACAAAAATTTGTGCACTTGGGGGGGGAAGGGGGGGTCCCTCAGCCCGGCCTGTGCCCTCTCGCAGTCTGGGACCCCTTGGGAGATAACGACCTGCTGGCTAAGGAGCAGTCCCAACTGTATCTTTAATCCAAAGGAGCAGTCCCAACTGTATCTTTAATCCAAAGGAGCAATCCAAAAATGCAGTGGCATTTTTCAGGCATAAGGGGTGATATTTTAGACAGATTGGGTCTCTGGCTGCCTTCTGCCACAGGGAGCAGTTGGTGGACTCCTTTGGGTATGAATAGAGGTGCCCTGAAGCCAGATCCTAAGTCCTGACGTCCACATACTGATACCTGCAGAAAGGGGGTGTAACTGTCTCAGAGTCTTCGTCAGGTCCCAGGTGGGATCACTCCAAACTGAAAGGGAGGATGGAATGAAAATATAAATGTGCTGTAAGTTTACAGTGTTCTTTATTTTACACGGTCCTGTCATTTTCAAACTATCTTTAGATCATACGGGTACAGTAATTGGGGTGGTGAGTACAGCAGTGAAGGAGAGGCTAAAGATGCTCTGAATTCAAATCTTAACAACTAATTTATTTTGCTAATGGCAGTTTAGAAAATTGGCAAATTTAAAATATTGGACAAACATCTAGACAACAGATGAAAATGTTTATTTGGTATTATGAAGATACCATCAAAATATGTACTATAATTTTCTTAAAAACCTAGCAAATTTTCTGTTAGAGAGAGAGAGAGAGAGAGAGAGAGAGAGAGTGTGTGTGTGTATATATATATAATTTTTCCCTTCTCAGGACCAAATTTGAAGCATATGTGAGACATGTGACATTTTCAAAATGGTCTTGTCTGTCTGTGAACCCTGCATAGTTTATCAAGGGCTTACTTACTCTTTGTTAGGTGCTGTAGGAGGTAGTAGGAATAGAGACAAGGTACCTGAGCCTCAAACATCTTACAGACACACAGAGGCGACAGGTAAGTAAGCAAATACTGCAGTGCAGGCAATGGATGCAGGAATGGAGGGTGTTTGGACTTCAGCAGGACACAAAGTAGAGGTTATTGCAAATCAGAGTGGGCCAGGCAAGGCTTTGCTCTGGCAGCAATGGGACATAGAACAGGGGGCTGGAGGGAATTGGAAGTCATTTCAATAATCCAGGCACGGTGAGAGTGGGGGGACAAAAATAAAAAATGTTAAATAGATCCACTTGGTTTGGATATGGGTGGTGAGATACTAACTAATAATACCTAAATGTATACCAATGTTTTTCCTTCTAAAAGTGTTTGATGTATACTATTAAATTTGATTCTTAACATAGTTCATTGAAGTATGTTAGATTTTCAAGATGAGATTTTATACAGGTGACTTATACCTCTAATTCTCTCTTCTATACCCCTCTGTGGCATTAATCTATTACATTGTCTTGGGATGATTTGCTGACCCACTAGCCTTCCCCAGACCTTGAGTTATTCCAATGCTTATCCTGCTTGCCTAGCACTGCACCTGGCATGTGGGAAGGTCTCACTGAAAGTTGAAAGCTTCAGTCCTTTTTTATGTTTCAAAGTGCAAAACAAAAAGAGCAAACTGTATTTTATGGAGGGAGTAGAGAGATAGGTGAGAATCCTGGTAAATGTTAACATGTCTTCCACATTCCGCTAAAATTCATCTTTAGATATGAAATATGGAAGGCTCACCAGAATTAGGGACTCTCCCTCTGACAAACAGCACTTATGGTTAACACAGCAGAACTCCATTCTGCTTCCCTCCACAGGAAAATGGAGATGGTATGGATATGGTAGCCTGGTACGTCGCCTCTGGTGTACCTTTCTGGACTGCAGATATGACTGATTAGATGGGGAACTGGAGGCTCTTCTCCCCCATTTATGCATTGCTCTGTGTCCAGCTGTAGGCAAGGCTGACATGAACTGGCCTTGCATTTTCACTAAAACGGTATATCTTCAATTAATGCAGTCTATACACGAAGAATAGGGATCACCCTGGGGTGTTTGCAGTTGTCACAGGTGTTCAGGGAAGGCCTCTCTGAAAAGATGACACTTGACCAAAGACCTGAAGGAGGTGAGAGGGTGAGCCATGCAAGTATCTGAGGGAGGCAAAATTTAGACCTTGGAAACCATAACCTTTAGATAACTGCTCTGGATACAGACTTTTATTTAATTTCTGAGTGGGCTGATGAGAAAGATGGTAACATAGGAAAAGAATAGGTTAGGAATTTAGAAGTTCTGAACCAGGCTTTGTTACTTGCTTAGCTCTGTGATCTTGGGCAAGTCACATAGCCTCTGTGAACCTGTTTCCTCATTTGCAAAATGCCCCGCCTCACTCACAGAACTGTTGGGAGTACCAAATGAGAGCATGTCTACAAACATGCTGGAAAGCGTAGGGCATACTTATCAAATGTTGAGTGCATTATGTTCAGTGGTTTACACGCAAAAACGAGTTTTTCTCACCTAATAAGAGGACTAGCAATCCATGGCTGCTGCAGCTACTCAGAGATGTCATTAAGACACCAGGCTGCTGTTACCCTTCTGCTCCACCGGCGTTAGCATGCGGATTTCAATGGCATGGTGGCAAGATGACTGCTGTATTCCAGGGCTTATGATGACATTCCAGTCAGGAAGGAAAAAGTGTCAGGATGGAAGGGAGTAGACATCTGTGTCAGGAAAGCAATACTTTTCCAGAAATCTTCAGCGGACTTCCACCCATGTCTCCCTGGACAGCACTTGTCAAATAGCCATCCCAGCAGCAAGGGATCCCTGGGAAGTTTTAAAAAGTTGGAAGCATTGTCTCCCCAAACAAAATACATTAGCAAAGAAGAGGAGAGAAAATGCAAATTAGTTAAGCAACTAGCAATGTCTGCCACAAACATATCAACAACCAAAAGAACTATTATGGAATCATCATTTTCACTACGTTTTGACTCAGATTAAATGTTATGAGAAACAACAGTAACAGCACTCTGCACTAAACAAGTCCCTGGATTGTCCAAGGAACAACAGTGTATCCAATCTTTCTGAAATATTATTAAACATTGGTGACTGTAACAGAAGAGGAGCTGTGAGAACAACATACTATCTTTCTGAAAATCAGAAACTGCTTATTTGGGGGAAAAGAGGGGCCTTTGGTGATTTTTCTTTTTCTCCTTCAGGGTATTTTGGAACGTCTGGAGAGTGGGGAGGTTGTGGTTGGAGATGGCGGTTTCCTCGTAACTCTGGAGAAGAGGGGCTACGTGAAGGCTGGGCTCTGGACTCCGGAGGTCGTGGTAGAACATCCAGACGCAGGTCAGTGCCAGCATCTCTGGGAGTGCTTATCTGGGTGACATTTTGAGTACATCTAACTGAGAGAAGATAAAAAAATAATAGCACATATTTTCTAAGGACTGTTTCACTTGTCAAAATAGCCAAGATGTGGAGAGAGTGACAGTACATGGTCTGAACAAATAGAAGGAAATTCTCTCTCTCTCTCTCTCTTTCTCTCTCTCTCTCTCTCCTCCCACCACCATGCACACACATTTGCATCTTTACATATAGGGACTACTAAAATATACATCCTACTATGTGTCTCAAAAATATATATATAGCTTTTGGATATTTAAGA